CACATGGTCACAAGTCGCAGTGTGGCTGCTTGTTACGGGTGCTCCACAGAACAGAAGCTGAGTCACCGGGACCCAGTGGACACTTGGCTGTGTCTCAGGGCAGTAAGACGGCCGTTCATAGGTGGGTGTGTCTGCTCACCAGTGGCATCAGGAGGCAAGGAGACCTTTTTCTCAGGATGTTGCCACACATTTAGGCTTACTACATCAAAGATGCTGATATTTAAATATAGGCCTTTTTGAATGTATGTGACTTGACAGAATTTTAGACATGAGGCTTTTAGAGCATAGGCTCTGGAGCCAGACTGCCAGAGCTTAAAAAAACACCCAAGAGTTGTGTGACCTCCTTTGCCTCCACCAGGTCCCCTGCGGATGTGCTTTCAGGGGCACCCAGGTCAGTGCTCCCAAAGTGCCAGGCCCACAGCAAATGCTGAGTGAGTAGTGGTCGCCCCTGTGGGCAGCGTGGCAGCAGCCCCTCCGTGAGCCCATCTGGCTGGCTGTCATGGGTCAGGACCCCCTGTGTGCTGCCTTTGTTTCCAGCTCTGTCGACAGTCACTTGGGAGAACAACACCCGTGTATTCTGGAGCCCACGGCATCAGGAGTCGAAATCTTGCTGATTTCATGATCGTGTCAGCCAGGCCTGCGAGAATTACCCTCACGCTTCAGGGCTGTGATTCATTTCACTGGAGCAGAGCCGTCGGAGCGAGGTGTCCTGGCTTGCACTGATGTTTATCAGCCCATCTGCCTCTCAGGTTTAAAATGAGGAGAAGTGGAAATTGAATTCACTTCCTTAACTGCCAGTTGAGCATCCTCTGTCCCTCTCGGGAGGACAAGTGGGTGGACGCCCACAACCCGCTTCCCCTTCACGAGCTCTCGTGGGCCACGTGTACTCCGATGTGGTCTGCCTGATGTTGCAAGAGACTTTCTTCTTTTTAGTTGTAAAGTTTCTGCCTGGCTGGGTCCTTTTGGTAAGACCCATCCGCTCCCCCGGGTGTAGTGATTTCCATAGTGACTGTGTCTGTCCACTCTACCCACTTAGGGAGTCAACAGCCCCACACTGCTTCCCAGGGCACCAGCCAGGCAGCACTTTCCAGACTGGAGGGCAGAGGGGACATCTTTGTCAGCTTCAAAAAAGAAAAACCAAAGCTGTCTTGGCGTTTTTTGACTGTATCCATATACAAAAACTGACTTCAGTTCTTATTCGTAGAGCCACCCAGAACGTGGGTTTTGTTGTAATTCTCTCTGTAGGGTTTAGCTTGTGTTGACATGCAGAATGTCTAAATCCAATTGCAGCGAGGACACCGGGACATTCCCCAGAGGATGCTACCTAGAAACTGCTTCTCTCCTTTTTGAACCTTTGCCTTCAGCAGTCACGTGGCATACAAAGTCACATTTTGCTCCAGCCACGTTTCTTGAGAAAAGCCTGTTCTTCTCTGAGATGAAGGACCGTGTGTGGTGGGGGCTGGAGGAGGACCCGTGCTGGTTAGGCCTCTCTGGAGAGGAGAGCTGGATCCCACCTGCACCTGCAGGCTGCTGAGCTGATGGAACCACCTGAGGGAGCTGGATGGCCACACACCCTGAATAGCTTGGCTCTGAACCCATGGCTTTACCACCTGTCACTTCCGGTCACTTAATTACAGTCGACCAGCCAGGTAATTATAGAATGTTCCAAGTATGTAAAGGAAGAAAATGGTGCGACAGGTTAGCACGCTTGGGTTGCAAACCACGTTTCTGGATATCTCAGGAAGTCTGACACAGAGGAAGTGCATGACACCAGGTAATAGACCATGTCCATGGAAGCATGGCAGTCAGAACCTCCTGCTGGAAGAAGATACAGCATATGCTGCAGCTTCAGCCCCTGCCAGAGAACCTCCCGTTTCTCTCCTTCATGGTACAGTGGGACCAGAGACCAGACCTGCATTCATCCCTGTGGATTATTTTACTGTTAAAAAGAAATGTAGCTGGGCTCGGTGGCTCAGCCTGTAATCCATGCCTTTGGGAGGCTGAGGTGAGTGGATGGCCTGAGCCCGTGGGTTCGAGACCCGCCTGGGCGGCGAGATCTCATCTCTACAATAAATCAAAAAATCAGCCGGGCGTGGCAGTGCATGCCTGTAATTCCAGCTACTCGGAAGACTGAAGCGGAAGGATCGCCGGAGCCCAGCGGGTCGAGGCTGCGGTGGCCGGGCGCGGCCACTGCACTCCAGTCTGGGCGACAGAGTGAGACTCCAACTTAAAAAAAAAAAAAAAAATGTGTGTTGTGAACCTTAGTCATTCTCTCCTGGTAGCCGTGCCTTCTTTTCTAGATAGTTCCTAAGTTGGGGCTCAGAGTTGAAAGATAAAAACCTTCTGGCCATCACAGCCTCAACCTGCTGGGCTCAGGCAAGCCATCTGCCTCAGCCTTCCAAGTAACTGGAACCACAGGCACACACCACCATGCCCGGCTAATTTGTGTGATTTATTGTAGAAATGAGGTCTCACTAAGTTTCCCAGGCTGGTCTTGAACCCCTGGGCTCGGGCAATCCTCTCGCCTCGGCCTCCCAAAGTGCTGGTATTACAGGCTGAGCCACCATGCCCAGCTATGTCTGTGCTTTTCTTATGCTGTACCCTCCCCACAAAATACCCACTTTTAAGTGTCTACTCAGATGCCCTCTCTCCACAAAATCTTCTGAGTCTTCTTCTCCTGGTCTTCTGCACTTGTATGCTGTTAGCACCCACAATTTACTTTTTCCCAATATTTCAAGTTAAAAATCCTTAAGCACTCAGAAAAAGGTGAAAGGAGAATGTGGTCAGTACCCTCTGACCTGCCATTTGATTTGTGTTTTGCTGTTTACATCTGCCTGGCCTTCCGCCTGCCTGTCAGTCCCTCATATAATTCATGCTTTCCAGGAAGCAGACATCAGTACCCGTACCCCCAGATGCTTCTACATGCATGGTATGAATTAGAGTTCAATACACTTACTTTTTAGGTAACAGTTTTATGCAGTGAAATGCACAAGCCTTAAGTGTCCGATGCATCTGAACACGTGTGCACACCTCTGGAGCTCCAATCAGCATCCAGATGTGGAGCATGACCACCCCAAGTCCCTCATGCCATTTCTCCGCTGCCACGATTCTCATCTTCTCTCCGCTTAGATGAGTTTGGCCCATTTTTTACCTTCATATAAATGAAATCAAACAGGACATGCTCCTTCATGCAAGGCTTCTTCTAGGCAGTGGATGTTTCTGAGACCCATCTGTGTGGTTGAGTTACAAGGAGTTTGTTCCCTTTTGTTGCTGAGTAATATTCCATTGTGTGAACCTGTCCTGGTGTGTTTATTCATGTCCTGTTGATGGAAATGTGGGTTTTTTTCAGTTTGCAGAAGTCTTTCCTTTACCAACGTGTGCTTCCATTTCTCTTAAGTAAATACCAGGAGTGAAGTTGCCTAGACCTTCTCCAAAGTGGTTGTGTCTTCCCTTTCACCCCTAGTGCAGAACAGTGAAGGATGCCCACAGCCTTGCCAACACTTAGTGGTGTTAGCCTTTTCAGTTTAGCCATTCTGGTGGGAGTGTAATGGTGTCTCACTGTGGGTTGGTTTTCATTTCCTGATTACTGGTGATTTTCAGTGTCTTCTCAGTGCCTATCAGTTGTGCTAATCATTTGGATAGCTTCCTCTGGGAAAGGTCCAGAAGGTTGAATTTTGCCCATTTACAATTAAAAAAACTTTTCAGTGGTCTGAAAGAGGTTTTTATCTATTCTGAATACTAGTCCTGTGTGAGATACATGTTTTGTATTTCTCCCACTCTGTCACTGTTTATTTAGTGTCTTAATGACTTCTTTTAAAGAGTGGACTTTGATTTTGATGAAATCTAAATATGATTTTTTTCTTTTATGATTACTGCTTGCTGTGACCTAAGAAACTTTGCCTACTTCAAAGTCACAAAGTTACTCTGAGGGTGTTTAAAGACAATAACTTTAACTTTTCCAACGAGATCTGCGATCATCTGAAATTAATTTCTAGCACAGTATGAGGCAGAGGTCAAGGTTAGCTTTTCCCTGCGTGGACGTTCGGTTCCACCTCCGAGTGTCTTTCCCACCCCCCGCACTATGACTCAGCTTGCCCATCTCGTAGGCCATGACCTGCCTGTTCCTCTGTAAGTGGCAGCTGCTCAATTCGGGTTCACTGAATTGCATTAAAGATGCAGAGGACAGTAGAGGATTCTGGCCATTTTTCCGTGCCTCCGTGTCGAAAGTAGTTTTACGGATTCATCCCCCCAATGCCGGTGTGTCAGCCTGGTTATCCCTTGAATTCACCTTTTCTGCCAAGAATAAAGGTCGAAGCAATGAAGTTGATGGCTTCATCTTTGGCTTGGAGTGAGGAAGAGAGATGCGTGTATCTTCTATTGAATTCTGAACATGTGCTGGTCACGGGACCTCATTTCTTTCTACCACAGCTTTGTTTTTTTCTTTGTAGCTGCCTTGAATATTAGATGAGACACTCAAACACGAAAGATCAGGGACTTCTGCATCACATGACAAATAAGTTGCAAAGCCAGGAGTTCTCTAGGACGGGGAATTGGTAGGAAAGCCATCACTTGAGTGTGATGGAAGATTTTTATAAAAGAATTAAGCGATGAATTTTCAAGTGTATGGTACTTAATAAAACTTGATAAGCAACTAAACTTACTAAAATCTGAATCACCCCAGTCCAAGAACCTGAAAAATTCAGTCTTCTATAATCACTCTAAGTGTATAGTAATATAAAAATACAGAAATGAAAACCCTTGGGAAATATACTTGGGCCTAAATCGCTGAGTATTGATTAGATAATAAAATACATTAAAATCATGAACAGCTACAGGGCCCACACATTGCCGTGACTTTATACAACATCCCAGTAGTCAGCCATGGCATCTGCCTCTTATTTCAGAATGCCAGCATGTCCCCAGTGTAGACGTGACCTGTGTCTCTGTCCCTCCCTGTTGTCCCCTGGTGTGTGTGGGGCTGACTGTCCCTGTATTTGCAGGCATGCTTCAGAGGTGTCCTTCTGTGGATGACTTTGTGAGCGCCCTCGTTTCTGACTTGGATCTGGACTTTGAGACTTTCCTCATGGATTCCGAATGACAGAACATCCTGCGGCTTTGACACCAAGCCTGACGGCTGGGGAGCCTCGTTTGCTTTCAGTGTTCACTTCTGTAATAACTTCTGAGAAACTTGAAACTCTGGGAACTTGGAATAAACAATTTGTCTTAATCATGCTGCCTCTTTCCCTGTGTAGCACATTTTTCAACGCATGGAGCATCTCTTAGTGAACTGGTAAGAATGACACTTCCCCGTGGAGCTGTTAAACACGGGGACTGGCATTTCCTTGGTTGGTGTGACCCTCTCTCCAGGTCAGCTTCCCCTAAACTAGATACTTAATTAAAAGCAAAGTTATTTTAGTATAAAACACAGTTTGAAGCAGTCTTGAGAAAGATGACACGTAGTTATTTTAAGAACGATGACCATTTCTTTAAGACCACTGTGTGAGGCTTAGAAGATGCAATTAAAGTGGTCGGTTATGGCAACCAGGAAACCCGGCGTGGCTTCCAAAGCATTTGGTGTATGTGTGTGTGTGTGTGTGTGTGTGTGTGTGTGTGTGTGTGTGTGTGTGTGTCTGTGTGTACGTGTGTAACTCACACTCTCTGGCCTGACTTCAGAGGTGGACATAGGAAGTGTGTGTGCAATGAACAGCTGATGTGCCGACGTCGAGCAACCGGTGGCAAAGGACACTGGGGCTTACATTGTGTCTGGTTTCACCACGCTGTTCTACGTGACTGCAGACTGTGTTGTCTTTTGTTAACTTCAGGGAAGAAATTGTTTAATGGGTTTTCCCCATCATTAACGTCAAGAATTTAATTCTAGATTTCCAGTTTTAAAAGGTACCTGCTAACAGCCCCTTCCTGCTTCTCACGAAGTGGCCAGTGACAAAGCAAAAGGGAACATTCAGAGTCCCCAGCCTGGGACATACATTCACCCATTCGCAGAATCTGGAGGAATTTCCACAGGCTCAGAGATCTGACCAGACAGAGAAATGCCATCGTGACCAGCCTGTGCTGGGTGCCCCAGCCGTGAGGGAGCCGACCTTCCTTCTCCCCACCCCGCTCATTCACACTTACAAACCCACATTTGTAGCACCCATAATGCAGGGCGGTGGCCACCCTGGAGGCGGGGCTCTTACGTGGGGTGGGGTGTCGTTCCTGCCTCCTCCCATGCCCCCCCCCACTGGAGTCCCTCTACCCGTGAACATCTGCAAACTGCAGCTGCCTGTACACACAGCAGAGTTGAGCATGGAGGCAGGTGGGGTGAGGTTGGTGCCACCTGTGCCTGGGGGGGGGGGGTCTAGCTGTTCCTATGTCCCCCACCCTGTTCATCCACAGCATCTGAGCTGAAATAAGGACAGATCTTGTCCTGAGCAGCTGTCACTGCACAGATGCCAGCTCTGTTCCGGGAAATGGGTGCCAACCTGCCAGTCCATTACAGGTAAGTCGGGAGAGGTGCTTTACTCAGCACCAGGCTTCCAGCAGTGACAAACCCTGCGTCCTCATCGACCCCTTTCAGGGGAGGGTGAGCATGCAAAAACAGCCAGTCCACCTGGAGTCTGTAGAGGCATTTTCCAGTGACGTGGAAGATGACATTTACAAGGAACTGGAGCACATTTAGAGAACCCTTCTGGAATTCTTAGTGAGATCTGAGAAAACATGGTGTCATGAAGCTGAGAACCATGAAGAACACACAGAAATAAAAGGACAGTAACAAGGGAGATCTGTAGAACAGGAAAGAAAGTCAGAGACACGGAAACCTGCGTGTAGTGACCGACAACGTGGTCAGAGCAGAAGACACAAAGCTGCCCGGGAAGGACATGAGCCACAGCTCTGAAACTTGTGTGAGGGGGCCTGAGGAGAGCAGGGAGGAGACCCAGGCCCGGTGGGCTCCAAAGGCCTGAGGTCGAGGCCGGGTAGCTGGACCCAGCACAGTGACCTAGAATGAGGTCCAGCGTGAGTGGCATCCGTGCCCACCACAGGGACCAGACTCAGGAGGGCATCGGTAACTATGTGCTCCTCAGTTCAAGAAGGCGTTTCTGAGCTGGGAAGAACAAAATGAGTGGCAGTTAGAAGGGAGATTTTTGCTGGTGGCACATGGCATGGATGTTCCTAATGCCACTGAACTGCACACCTAAAAATGGTTCCACTTTGCGGTACATTTTGTGTATATTTTGCCACAGCGTTTTAGAAAACAAACCGAAAAAAGAATCCTGAATCCCCATACCAAAAGAAACCAAAATAACAACAACAACAACAAAAAAACAGGCCCTCAACTAGATATGTTGTACTTTTTTCTTCTAGTTTAAATATAAGAGCCATAAAAATGACAAGCCAGCATAGCCCAGGCGGGGCTCTGCAGAGCACTCCCCAGGAGCTGTGACTCAGTGTGTCATGACCTCAAAGGGCTGGTGGAAAGAAACGCTGGGGAATGCACAGAGCGCTGAGGGTCCCTGTGTACGCTGGCCGCCCCACAACCACAAGACGCACGAGCGTGAGCCAGTGTTGCCCAAATGAGTTTGCTCGGAGGACCCACCTACTTTTGAGCACCTAGTGCCGTTTTTCAGGACACTGGGAAATAACTGCTGAAAGCATTCAGCTAGAAACAATGGCTTACCTATGATGGAATAGGATCACGGTGCTCCCAGAATGCAATGCTCCTCGCCATCAAAAGCCAAAGCACAGTGAAGTGTCTGAGCCAAAACCTAAGATGCAAAATGGCATTCTCAGCCATGTGCGCACCCAGGAAGCATCTCAGCTTTGTGCTCCTTCTTTAAAAATTGCCAAAAAAAAATGTGGTACATAAACACAAAGAAATATTATGCAGCCATAAAGAAGAACAAAATTATGGACTTTGCAGCAAATTGGATGGATTTAGAGTCTGTCATACTCAGTGATCGATCACAGAAACAAAGAACTGAGTACCACATGTTCTCACTCATAAGTGGGCCCTGAACATTGACCATAATACAACAAGAAAGGGATTGGCGCCGGGCTCGGTGGCTCAGCCTATAATCCCGCGCTTTGGGAGGCTGAGGTGAGTGGATTGCCTGAGCCCGTGGATTCGAGATCCACCTGGGCAAGTTGGCAAGACCTCATTTTTACAATAATTCAAAAATTAGCCGGGCGTGGTAGCGCACGCCTGTAATTCCAGCTACTTGGAAGGCTGAGTGGAAGGATTGCCGGAGTCCAGCAGGTCGAGGCTGTGGTGGCCGGGAGCAGCCACTGCACTCCAGTCTGGGCAACAGAGTGAGACTCCAACTCACAAAAAAAAGAAAGGGATTGGCAGAAGGACAATGCCAGGGGCGGGAGGGGCACAACATCAACAAGGGGACCCGATTTCAAACCAGGCAAAGCAGAGGCCCAAACTTTACCTGAATGATGACCACCTGTATACTTAATCCTGAGTTGCACCCCACATCTTTAAGATAAATAAAAAATAAAAATTGCCAGAAGAATAAGGAATGTTGACCAAAAGTCAAAGCAAAGCAAACCTCTGAGGAACTTCAAAGAAGGGAGGGGGGGCATCGCCCTTTGCAGGCCAGCTGGATAAGTCATAACAGCAAATTATTTTATCGTGCATGTATTCCCTAATGATGGAATAATTCCACCAGCACACAGCAGTTCCTCTGGGAGAAATTCCCTTCTGTAGTCATGGCTTCCCCTTCAACTTCCAAAAAGCCAATTTAAAGTACTCATGACTGTGTAAACACAAGGAGTAATCTAATAACAGGCTGGAGGATAATGAATACATGTTAGTGTGGTTGTCTTCAGGTGTTGGGATTTTGGCATTTTGTTTTTCTCCTGTCGTCTATTTTGTTTTTAAAGTAGGCAATATGTCCATTTCAATCATTTAAAATATACGAAGTGTTTCATAATCATGACAGAGTCAAATTTAAAGCTGTGTTGCCCAGGCTGGTCGCGAACTCCTCAAGGAATCCTCCCACCTCAGCCTCCCAAAGTGCTGGGATCACTGGCATGAGCCACCAGGCCCAACCCCTATCTCTTTAAGAGAGAAGTGTTTTCTAGAAGCTGAAATTTCCCTTCTTAGTTGACTGATATAGTTCAAGTGTATCAGAAAGGCTTGTAGTGGGATTTAGAAAAATCCAAGCTTAAGAAACTGAGTCGGTTGCTTTAAAAAGACATGGAGACAGGGTTAGATGTGCAAGAGGTTCATTGGGAGAAATGCCCAGGAAGGATAACGGGAGGGGAGAGAGAGAAGCAGACGCGGAGTGTGATGCTAGTCGGCTGCCTGGGACAGAAGAGGGGTCCAGGGGAGTCCAGGTGGGAAGAGTCTCTCAGCACAGCCCTGAGAAAGGGGACAGGTCGGGGGAGGCCCTGTCAGAAGGGTCTTCAGAGGTGGCCCACCCTCACAGATGTCGCCCAGCATCCATATGCGACTCTGTCTTAAGGCATGTTAATATTTCAGGTCTTCCCAGATCGCATATTCTGTTAACATACTTAGCGATTGTCTCTGTCAATGTAGTTTAAAATACACATTTTATCTGGCGTATTTACCCCAGAGACATAATATTCTTCTATGCGAGTTAAAACAGCCTCTTATCTATTATGAATTAATCAATAGCTACTATCTCCTTCCCCAAGCGATTTAACTCCCACAGTGGGACGGACTCCAGCCAGGAGCTGGACACAGAGGTCAGTGACTCCCTGGCTTGGCCAGTGGAGCCATTTACCTCCCAGTGTACATGGTGGCTGCCGCCACGGACGTCTGCAGCAGCCCCCAGCTCTCACTGGCCCCTGGGTCACAGCATGGGGCCTCTGTGGTCACCTAGCCACCCCTGCCCTGGGGGAGGCTCACCTAAGCCGCCCTAACGATGACTGTCGCTCTGTCTTTACCCTCCGGGGAGGGCTTTCCCCACACCCTCTGCCAGAGGCTCCCAGCAAAGGGTGCTTCTGGCCTCTGTCTCCCACAGGCTTGAGGAAAGTCTCCTCCTGGGTGTGGGTGATCCTGGTGCTCAGAACACGGAGGACACACGCCACGCGGGCACTGGTTATGGCAGAAGCGAGAACCATTACCGGGTAGATGTGGGCACAGAGGTGAGTGACAGCTGGCCCCAGGGAGAGTGAGCCATTTAGAGGACGGTCGTGACAACGTGGAGGGAATAAAACTGTAGGCGGCCAGAGCCAATGTTTCAGGGGGTCATGTCTGCAC